TGCCACCACGGCATGTGTCGCTGCCTGACGTGGTTCTCGACGCAGAAGGCGCTCCCTTGCAGGACCGTGCTGGATTTCGCCGAGATTTGCTTCCGCGTCGCCTGGATGTCCTGCAGGGCATGCAGCGTTGCTACCACTTTGTGGGAGGCCTGGCGAACCAGGAAGTGCGCTTTACGGATGCGGGCCTGGAGAAGTTTCGCTGCTTTGATGCCATGAATTGGGAACTGGCGTCCATAGTCCAGTATACCGATGATCAGTTGGCTGCGGAACTTCGCCAAGTGCAAAGGCATCTGGCGGTCCGCTGCGCCGCCCGCATGGGGCTGCATGTCATGCTCGGCCAGATGCCCGAGGATGCCGATGTGCAGACCACTCTGGTGACGCCGGAGATGGTGGACTCGGCCGCGTTGACTCTGGCATGCATTCTGGGCAGCGTGGCCGTGGGTTTCCGCGGCGTCAATGCTTCGTCCTTGCCGCGTCTGCGCCCCTTGGAGGATGGCTCTGTGGATCCCAAGCTCTTCTGCCGAGTCCTCGCACCGGCCTTCGCGCACTTTCTCGAACGTGCGGACGCTGGCGACGTGGATCCAGCGGCGGAGGCCGCGCGGCAGCTTGAGGCCGCGATCCTGGGTCTCATGCGAGAGACCTTGACGTGGCCTGGGTCTGACTTTGTCAGCAAGGGCATGGTGACGCGACGTTTGTCGGCAGCCGACCAGGGCACATCTCACCTACATCCCGGCTGGCAGAAAGCTCAGGGCCACAGCAATTCCGCTCGCTCCGAGTGGTGGCTTGCGAACGTGGCGCGCTCGCTCGCGGACCGTGGTGTCGGGCAGATCGTGCAAGCGCACGATGGAGCGCGGTTTGTCAAGCCGGCCGTGGAGGATCTCGGGCGCGACCCTGTGAGGAGCTTTCTCACGCAGACTCTGCAGCTCGACCCAGACAACGTCTCCTCCTCTCTGGCGCATGCAGCCGCGGGCGGCCTGGGGAAGCGCCGGCGCCTCAGCGCTGCCGAAACGGCAAGCTCGGCCGCGGCGGTAGTGGCTGCAGAGTCATGGCATTGCGCGACGTGCCGAAGGACTGTGGAGGCTCATGCCGCACTGGCCCTCGGGTATCGCTGCACCTCCTGCCGTGGCGCGCTCGAGGCTGGGTCTGGCTCACCGCCGCCCTCGCCTGCGCCGACTCTGCGTGACTCTCTTCTCCCACCGACACCGGCAGCAAGCGTGCCACAGGGCGAGCTCGCTGCGACCGCGCCGCAGGCCTTCGATCCGTACCAAGATGACCGCGTCCTGGAGACGCTCCATCTGGCTGGAGGCGCGGATCAGCTGGCCCTCAACAACCTGCGGAACATCTTCTGCCTCGTGTGCGTGAAGGCGGGCACCGACGCGCGTCTGCGCGCCTACCAGGCGCTGGATGCGCGGCTCAACAACGAAGAGTCGGACATCTGCCGCCGCATTCGCGAGCTTCTCGAGGGTGGCTGGTCGGACGCAGGCATCCTGGACCTTCCCATGCAGAGCAACCTCTCCGGCGAGATGATCGACATCTGGCGTCAGTGGGTTGACATCGCCTACATGCGCGCGGGCCGCGTGCCCCCGCCCAGGACTGGTCCGGCTCCGACCCCGGCTCGCGGGCGCGCCGCGCTGCCGACCTCCAAAGCGCCCTCGCTCGCGCGCCACCCAGCAGCGGCGCCGGGCACCATGTCCTGAGGCGCAGACTGAGCGCATTGCGCCAGGAGTTTTGTTCCGTGTACAGCTCTAGAACTGGCCTCCGGCGGGCAGCAGCCGGAGTCGTCCCGTAGACATTGTACATGCGGAGACGACTTCGCTTGCTTCTGCGCTGGTCCGGCTGCGTCGCGGGCGGCTTGGGATGCGTCGGGTCTCATATAGACTGTATATAGATCATACGTCTGACTGTGTGATCTCACGTCTACATCTCTCAGCAAAGCCACCCGCGCAGCGACAGACTGCCGGCGGAGGACAGGCTCCTGTTGCTCGAGGCAGCAGCAGGCTGAGTCAGAGGCCATCTGCTCGACCTCGTCTCTTCCTGCGTCTTCCCAGCGGGCACGGCGCTGCGAGGCCCTCGTTACAGTGCGACGTACAGTCACTCGAGGCCTCGCAGCGCTGACCTGCATTTCAATATTCTTTCTGCTCGTGCTTTTGCACGTGCCGTGTCTGATCGGCCCGGGGTGACGTGGACTCTCCCCAACCACGTGAGAGCGGCGCGAACAAAGGGCATTCACTGGGGTGTCCGTGCGCTTGCTTAGCAACCTCAGGACTGGCGGGGCCAGGAATCGAAGCGAGGGCACCCACCACTTGTCATTGCGGCTCAGTGCGTAACGTGTTTTGCCTACCCCGGAAGGGGAAGCCACTTTACTTCCTTTATATTCGCAGGTTTTGTGCAGGTGCATAAACCGTTTCAAAAATTTCACCTTCGTTTTGGTGCATGCTTCTTTTTTTGGAGTTTTCGTCAGCATGTGATCATGGATCTCTGACCTTGACATGGACGAAACATTGCATCAAAAAGTAGACAGAGCTCGAGATTCGCTAGTGTCTCAAAAGGAATGTGACCGCATCATGGATTGATTCGAGTATCATACTTCTTGAGATATTTGACGAATC